GACATTTGTGTGAAATTGATAATTAGCATATCCATTTGTGAGTTATGGCCAAAAACACATTTTGTGAGTTCAAAGTGATTTTGATCTTTACTACCAAAATCAAACCATCGTTGAGTAGAAGTGGAAGTTTGTGTTCAATTTTAAGAATTCCTGATAATGCATTCACAAAAATTAGACAAATATTAGAGCTATAGTGCGTAACTTCTACAGGTCCGTAAATGTCCGTTTCACCCAAGCCACTACTAGAGGAGATGACACAATGCTGATCAGCCGATCGGCTCCTCTAACATCTCGCGGTATTTTTCAATATATATCATTTTTAGCATGCGTGTAGACCGGCGATATTCCCACGCTGGCGCACAGGAAATGCTTCCTCACAACAAGAAGGGAGGGGGAGGACGAGCGGAGAGTGTCACAGCAAGAGGTAGAGCGCAGGTAGAAAGAAAAAGCAACATGGAGGAGAAGCGGCCAAGACACAGTTCAGAAGTGGATCATACCACAAAGAAAAAGCCTGGACGTTCGGCTGAAGGTCTATTAGCAAAGAAGGAAAGTGACCGACGGAGAAGGCAAACAAGGATTTGTATTTGCGTCGCTTTTCCTCGGTGGAGAGCCCTGAAGGAAGAAATTGGGCTGAGGGCAGACACAGATGTTGCCTTGCTGCTGTTGGATAAGTAAGTGACTTGGTTTATAATTATATTATGAGTAGTATGTGTTGCTGTTACATGTACTGGACCTAGTACTTTATTATTTTCTTGGAAATGGTGCTATGAACATAATGTAGGCCTAATGTTAGCAGCCTGGTGTTCGCCACGTTGTGTAGCGTTGTGTACACGGTGTGAAGCGAGTGTTACTCTGTGTACACGGTGTGTGGCAACTGGTGTTACTCTGTGTACATGGTGTGTAGCGAGTGTTGCTCTGTTTACATGGTGTGTGGCAACTGGCCAGTGTTACTCTGTGTACACGGTGTGTGGCAAGTGTTACTCTGTGTACATGGAAGTGCCGCCGGCTTATTAGTTGTAATAACGCATTATCTGCTGGGAGGCGACAGAAGTTACGCACTATAGCTTTAAGTCTAAGTGACCTTGATCTTTGACCACCAAAATAGAATCAGTTCATAGTCAAGTCCAAGTGGATGTTTGTGCCATATTTAAAGAATATCCCTTGAGGCCTTCTTGAGATATTGTGTTTCCAAGAATGAGACAGTTGCAAGGTCACAGTGGCTTTGATCTTTGAAAAATTGTCCAAGTGGACATTTGTGCCAAATGCATTACAGAAGAACTCACTGTGCTACATGAAAATGTAGAAAAATATGTTAATGCTCAGCAAAATCAGCTGGGTATCAGAACTGAAACTTCTCTGACTTAAAGCTTCTGACTGAGAACAGCCATGTGCCTCAGTCTGACAGACACTGCACAGTTAAAATAATGGACCCTGGTTTGCAACCAGACTGCAAATAAAACCAAAATATATCATGCCTGGATGAAGCTAAACCCTATTTTGTGTTTCCTTTTCCTCAATCAAATCAGAGTTGGTTTCAGGGACTCTGACAATAACACTGTAATCTATCTTTCACTCTGTGTGTGGAGGTGGCTAAATTGTTGATGACATACTATGTTTTCTATTGAACCCAAGCATGTATTTTAAAATGACACCATTACATGCTCTGGTTGTTTTTGGTATGAGACTCTCCGTGGTACGAAAACACACACGCCAGGAAACACACACATACACACACACACACACACACACACACACACTTGTCCAAACACACTTCACTCTCCTGCAGTGTTTCCTGTCTACCCTGGTTGATCATTTCCCTGTAATCTAATGCTTGGCTGCTCATCTCCGGTTGGCGTTAGCTATGTGTGTGCACATGTCTCTGCATGTCTTGATTTTACTTTATGAGAACAACAGTGAACCAGTAATTCAGTAAAGATGACCGCAACAGGCATGAATGAACTTCACCCAAACTAACCTGACTCAAAATCAAGTATGGAAATGTGTGTGCGTGTGTGTGTGTGTGTGTGTGTGTGTGTGTAGGCAAGCGTGAGGGCTTGTATATTTGAATGCTTTTGCATTTCACACAAGGTCAAGTGTATGACCTGCTGAAGCAAATGAGGTGTGTTTCTGTTACAACAATACTGTGATACTGTGTACGTGTGTGTGTACTGATCAGATGATTAAAAACAGAGAGGTGACATAGAGTTGAGCTACTGCAAGGGGGGGGGGGGGGGGGGGGGGGTTACATGTATGTCTGCAGACAAAGTGAAAAAGCACAGCTGTTCTACTGTAACACAGAAGGGAAATGTGTGTCCCTGTGTCCCACTGTTAAGTGTTTGCATTCAAATCACATGTTTAGGTGCTGAAAACAAGCAGAGTTAACATGGACTGAGGGTGACTAAATGATGACCTCTGAGAAGTTAAGTAACTAAATATGTCCATGAAATTCTAGTAACAAGAGTGCCAGTAAAACAGGAGTTAGTTAAAGCAATCTGAGAGGAAATGGTACAGTCTTAGACCACTATACACCGTGCATCAAAATGCGCCTCGTAGCCAGATTGTATCTAGATATGATTTAACCCGATTACATTTACACTTGGTATTACTGTGAGTATCAAGTGTCCAAACTGAGAACCGACTGAGATCTGATGCTCTGTTCAGCTTGAAGAAGTGAACATTTGTAGCTGTTCTCTACCATCTGCTTCGTCTGTTGCTTCATCATTGGCTCAGTTATGATATGAATTGCCAAGTTTCCCTTGTATACTTCTGTCAGACCAAATCGAAAGCAGACACTTGTCTTTACTCCATCCACAAGTGTCTTGAATATCCATGAGCTTTCTTGCATCTTCTTTTCTCTTTCTTCTTTTCTTGCTAGTAGCTTACCTTGCAAACTGGCTAATGGCTGCTACCCCACTAATTTGGAACAGTTGGACAGAAATACCTTTTTCTGCCAACATAGTTATTGTATGTGGATTGAAATCTCAATATCATTTACATTTAGGGATCCAGGGTTTCCCATAGAATTAGAAACAATGTGTGGCAGGAACTGACGTGGAGGTTGTAAACAACTTGCGCTTTTGTTTGTTTTGTTTTTGGGAGATTTTTTTGTGTCCCTTTGTATCATTCTGTGTCCCCTCTTTAAAATCAGAGGTTTTAGTGGGTCAGTGAATGCGGGTTGATAACTGATCAGCTGATCCAATCAGAGCTGATCAGATCAGATAGCTGGATGAGAGGAGCAGCTGCTGCAGAAGCCAGTGAAAACAAACTTTTGACCTTGTGCAATGCACAAGGTCAGAAGTTTCACTTTCACTGCATCTGCCATTCTGCTGCTCCATCTGTGCCCAGACTACACTCTGTACTCAGAGTGTGATGCAATGAACAACCAAACAGTATATATATTCCAATACACTCCTAATGAATGGTCCAGCTCCAAAGGTAGAAAATCTATTTGTGGGAATCGCCTTGTTGTTTACAAGGCGATTCCCTCTATAGTCCGGCCGGACGGATGAGTCATGGCCTTGTCACTCTGAGATCTCTCCACTTTGTGCATGTATAGGTCCTGTTTGTGCATGTGTGTGTCTTTCAGACCTGTGTGTAATTGACAAGCAAGAGTGAAAATATTGAATTTCCCCTCAGGGGATTAATAAAGTAAATAAACTTGAAAACTTAAAAGATTATGTTTGTTTCTTTTAGTTGGCGACAATGTGTCGCCGCAAACGCGACAAACATCCACTAACTTTATCAGCGTTTTCTGTGAGCACGGCTGAGCCATTTTGTACCGCTACACGTGTTTCTAGTCGGACTATGTTTACAAGCACAAGAGTTCAGCGAGCCACCGAAGGACCGCCCTGCAGATTTACTATTGGTTCTACAACGTAGGGAGTTTTTTTAAACTCTGAAATTGTATCCGCCCATCTAAACACAAAATCAGGGAGAAAGTCATCAGTCTTTAGTTAAGCAAAGCGTCTAAAGACTGACTTGTGAGTCTACTCCTAAACCGCGACGGTTTAGTGTCAGTCTCTTGACACTTCAGTGAGGTGTATGCGCCCCAAAAAGGGCCTGAGCCTCAGTCCTCCAGCTGAAGGACAGTTGGATGTTGTCTCAGAGCACTCGGCCACCCTGTCATGGCCCGAGCTGAATGATGGGGTTTGGGTTATGTGCAGAAACTGCTGACTGTGAGATGCGACCCTGGGCGTTCTGCTTATTTGAAACAGCTGGCTGGACTGCATGCTCACAAAGAGAGGTTATGAGAAGACATAAACAGTTCACCCACCAACACCATCCGCCTGACTCAACCACAAAAGCTTCCTGGCTTCCCCCTCTCTGGCTTATCCTCCAACCAGGTCCTCCACACTACCCCAGGCTGGGAATAAATAGTCCTGGCTCCAATTTCACAATGTAATCAAAACACTGGGCTTTGTGGGAGCGCCCAGAGGATAGGAGCCGGGCAAAGCGGTGGGACAGGGAGGAGGAGGACTTGGACAGGGAGGAGAATCAAGGAAGAGGGTTCAGGCCTTAGTTTATGTAACCAAGGTCAGCAGGAGGAAAAACACAATAATCTTGGCTAAGGCAAAAACAGTAGGAGCACATGAGGGGAGGGCTGACTGAGGGAAAGGAAATATGAAAACAAACAGATAAAAGTCGCAGCGGGGAGGCCTCCGTTTGCATGGCCTGAGCTTCTGGTTTGGCATGAGGGAGGAGTAATTGTGAGCAGCCGCTGACACTTTAAATAGCTGCTGAGTGTGGTGGGATGCGGTTTTGGGGGAAGTGGACTTGACACCGTGGAAGGAGGAAACAAATCCCATCAGCCATTGTGTAATTCAGATGAATTGCAGGAAATAGCTAAAAAAGCTCAAGTGATCATCCTCTGGACACATCTGGCTAGTTTGGCGTACAGCATCAGCAATGGCCAGACAGAAAAATCAACTTTACAATGACTATATGAGAATAAAAATGAGTTCAAGCTTCCATTTCTTTGGCAAGAAATTTCAATCCCCTACCTGTAGAAGTTTAGTGCTCTTTTCCTGCCATTTCCAATCTTTCCATGGCTCCCATGAGGATGTGTCCAAACCTAGAGGAGGACAAGCAGTTAGAAATTCCACATAGAGCATTTTTACAGCTTTCTTCCCTAAAAGCCAAGAGCATGACATAAAGTACAACACAAACGGTCTTTGAGGAACCATAATATGGAAACAGATGATGATAGCAGGACTCAGTGGCTGAAAAATCCCCTTCCACAGAGTGAGATTAAACCATTTGCAACACCCGCCATGTCTCATTAATTCATGCTATGCAGGTGAGGGTCTCTGTTCTTCGTACAAGGCAACTATTGTTCAGTACAACAACAAAGACCTTGCCTAACACTGCGAGGCAAGAGCACCTTTTGAAAACCAGACAAATGGCTGCCACCAAGAGTCGAGTCTGGCACAACGTGACACATGGCCTCTCTGCAGCACTTTCATAATACATACTCAAAAGGCCCGTTTCCACTGAAGAAGTTCCTGGTACTATTTGGGGGGCAGGAACTACTACAGGAACGTCCTCTCACTCTGCCCTCTCAACCGCCGTGTCTCCACTGAGAGAGCTGAGTACGAGGAAGGTTCCTGTAAAGTTACGGGCTCTGGATGTGACGTAATCGTTGCGCGACCATTTTGACCGGGGCAACGTAGGGACGCCGTTAGCCGATAGCGGTGTCTGTAATAACTCACTAAATGGTCCGTGAAAAAAATATTTTTTCCAGTGGATGTCTTAGTTACAACATGATTGAGCTAACTGGAGTAGTTTCATGTCGTATCCGACAACGGGAGGCTTTTAACAGATGACGTCCTGATGTTAGCTTTGCCGCTGCTTTAGCTGTCCCTGTCAGCTGATGCTTTCTAGACATCGTGATTTCCCAAAACTGAATACATACCACGCATAGCAACACAAAACTGCTTTGCTAGCTCAATCATGTTGTAACTAAGATATCCACTGGAAAAAATATTTTTTTCACAGACCATTTAGTGAGGGTTTTTTTTACATGGCGGCGGAAGCTATATGAACGAGCTAACCCTCGTCTGCTGAGTTTTAAAAACGCCGGCTATTTTGTTGCTTTCTGTTGTCGTCACATTCCTCCTTGAGTATATCCAATCAGCACCAAGTAATCCCCAAGCCCCAGCCAGGAGTCTTTCGGGGCCGTTCTGAGTACCTACTCCGAGGCAGGGACTTGTTTAGCCCCTGTAAAAGTTCCGGAACTCTGTCCTTCGGGGGTGGTTCCTGCGGTGGAGACACGCACCAACGGCCCAGGCACCATAAAATTACCCCGAAGTTCCTGCGGTGGAAACATGCCTAAAGCTATGGCCAGGAATGGTTAGGAGATCATCAAAATTTAAAAAGCAGTGAAAGACGTGTAATTATGACTGATGTCGTGAGGGAATGTCTATCCCTTAAGTGTGTAAGAACTAGCATTCCTTTACTCTTTCCAGTTGGAGTTTCATTCACAACAACAGAAGTCCAAAGGGCAGTGGTGTAGTGGAGGGTTTATGCAGGTATAAAGGTATGCAGGTTTAAAACATATTTTTAAAAAAGGGAACTATCACTTTTTGGTTCTTCTTAATTACTCAAATCAAATACACTTATGAACAAGTTTAAAATATCAATTACTTTGATGAATACTACATTAGTTATCATAGAAAAAATAATACTAAATGTGAGTGCTGAATTGATACAGTTTCATTCAATTACAGCACTTCTGCTGCCTCACAAGTAACAAGCTAACAACTTAACCCTGTTCCAACCTTTTGATTTATTTAGCAATTTAAGGTAAAATGCAGTGTTAATTTCATTGACATCAATGACCTTCCTTCCATGACAAAAACCAGACGATGACAAGCTAAAAATAGATCTTGATAATAAAAACTAAGACAAAATCTATGTTTAATTTTCGCTGACGAGACAAGATGTGACGAAAATGTTAGCCGTGGACAGACATTGAGAGCAATGAATGGCCGTGCTTACAAATGTCTTCAAATGAACAACAGGCTGGCAAACTCCAGTGAATAGCCTGCAACAGGATGTTTTGCTAGCCAGCAAAAAACACACTGAAGCAGCGTCAGCCATTGGTGCAAGTTGTGAGCTGTAATTCAGCAGTAAATAATCAGCCATGTGTGTCTGACTGTGGATGGTGGAACTGAATTTGTGGAGTTTGTTAGATGCAGTGGTGGCTGTTTGCAGTTAGCTCTGCTCATTAGCCGCTGAACGGCAGCAGAGCTAGCAGCCACCACCCGCCAGATTTCACAGCTGATCTCCACAGGACTCAACTCAGTACGTACTCGAGAAGGTTTATGGGTTGATGGTGTTTGACAGGCAGGTAGGAGGCTCAGTTGTCTGTGAGAGTAGCTGTGCTGTAAGTAAGTTTTCTCTGACAGAAATGAAAGTTTAGTTTCAATCACCAACTCTGTGAGAGGACACAAGTCTGAACCTCCAGACTAAAATGTTGCAGATTAAGAAACAATTCAGCCTTTATTTAAGTTATTTTTCTGCTTCTCAACAGTGAGATGGATAAGTTAGAGTTTACAATGAACCTGTGTACAAATCCTAGTTGTCTCATTATTTGTGGTGTCAAAGTTTTTGAGAGCATAAATAGAGAGATGTTGATTTTTTTTTTCAAATGATGATCAGAAAGTGTGTCCTCATTAATCACCCCTTAAACCTGTCAAAAATTGCTGGAGAAATGACAGTTTATGTGTAGAAATTATTTGTAGTTGTAGAAAAAGTTGTTTAAATGAAATTTTTATACACACTGTCACACTGATTCTAATTTCTGATACATGAATTAACCTAACTGGATTAGATTGAAGAAAAAAAAACACACAGAAAACATTAAGACTAAAAATTGATGACAATGTCATGAATTTTCATTGACGAAAACATTTTTAATTTTTGCAGGCTAAAACTAAATTAAAATTATGAAGGATAAAAATTGGTAAAATGTGACTAAAAGTAAAAGGCATTTTCATCCCAAGACTAAGACTAAATCTAAAATAGCGGTTAAAATTAACACTGGTGATACGACCCGGCCGTGATGAAGGCTGACTGTTGCCTCACGTGGCCTATGTCTGGGCCATCAAATTGCACTTAAACAAACCACAGAGAGTAAAGCCAATGGCCAGCTAGCGTGTACATTCTGCACCTGCATGAAAGGAAGTAACTCTCCATACCAACAGGGGGCGGTAATGTGTATTTGTTGTTAATGAGGGGAACCTAGAAGACCTAGGACTAAGAATATACAAACTGTTGTTTTGCCTACCATTCTTACACCACTCTCGCTCACTGTTTGGTCTTTAGTTGCTTCATTTCAGATAGCCATGTCGTTAGGATAATATTCATTTATTGGAATGCTCATATGAGGTGAAGATGAAAAATGACAAGAGCCTTCTGTGTGTGCCCTCTTGACTACAGTCATTTGTTTGCTTTTCTCATTTGTTTCTCATTTAGTGTACTGATTCACTTAAGCTGAACAGCCAATCGGGTGATTTCTCCCTCCGACGGGCTAAGCTGCAGATTCAGCATTCTCAATCGGCCAATAAGGTGCCAACTACGGGTGGGACTCACCAGAGGCTACCTAATAGGATATAATCACGATACTTAGGTCAAGATACAACATTACTACCATTCTAAATGTTTTGTGATATGCTGAGTATTGCAATAACACATATTGCGCTATATTACTGTTTTTCAACCGCAAATTAAGGAAAAACTTTGTCAACATGTGTTTTCATCTAATAAGATAAAGATTTCTCTCTTTTCATCTCTCATAAATCATTTTTAATGCAGCAACATGTATCTAGTGGACTAAAAAGCTATTGATTTTATTGCTCTAGCTGACAACCAAAAGTTTGACTTAAGTGCTATATTAATAATTCACATAATTTAGAAAATCCATACTTGGCATCTGTGTATCAAAATAATATTGCCACGCAAAATATGGTGATACTGTGCTGTATCAATTTTCCCCCCATCCCCTAGCACTGACAACTGCACTGACAGCGTTCACAGCCAGTTGTGCTAATACACAGTAAACTTTGAATTCAGATCAAGATCATTACAAGCTTAATATCTAACTTATTTCATGTTTGAACAGAAGCACAAATTACAAAAAAGTGACAGCCATGGTCTGAACATCATGTAATACACTACTACTACACTTCTACTAAACTACTGCACTGTATATAACCAAGCTCAAACAACCAAGCTGCATGAGCCAAATCCCCAAAGACAGAAGAAATGGCATCAAACTTGAATCATTCTTGTGCTTATGCTTGTCCTTCATCACAGGTGTCCTGAAGTTATGGAGGATCATTCCACTGCCACAAGGCCAAATGAAAGCAGCCTTAAACTATTACTTAAACTACTTAAACTATGTAGTTCAACATCTATATGCTCCCTCTTGCTCAGATTATGGAATATCATAACATCTCCTACCATACTTATGCAGATGACACACAACTTTACATAACAGTGTCACCAGATGACTACAGTCCCCTACATCTGCTAAATAAGTGCATTAACGAAATCAATACATGGATGTGCCAGAATTTTCTACAACTAAACACAGACAAAACTGAGATAGTTGTTTTTGGCCCCAAAGAACAAAGATCAATAGTCAGTGCTCACCTTGACGCCATGACACTAAAACCTACAAATCAAGCCAGAAATCTTGGTGTAGTTCTGGACTCAGACCTAAATTTCAATAGTCACATTAAGACAATTACTAAATCAGCCTACTACCACCTTAAAACCATAGCAAGAATAAAAGAATTTCTGTCTAAACAAGATACAGAAAAACTTGTTCATGCTTTCATTTTCAGCAGGTTGGACTATTGTAACGGTGTCTTCACAGGCCTGAGTAAAAAATCAATCAGACAACTGCAGCTCGTCCAGAACGCTGCTGCCAGAGTCCTCACCAACACCAAGAGAATGGAGCACATTACACCAGTGCTTAAGTCACTGCACTGGCTTCCTGTGTGTCAAAGGATAGACTTTAAAATCTTGTTACTTGTCTATAAAGCACTAAATGGTCTCGGGCCTAAA